GGCAACAAACAGAAAATAATAGCAATATATGGGGAACAAACAGGCTGATGTTACAAAACACAGGAAACAAATGGGCAATCATGACAATATGCAGTCAGCAAAAGGAGCAATCATCACAATATATAGGAAAAAACATCTTACTTTTACCTAAATCCAAAAGAGGAATGAACTTCCCAGAACCACTATCATACTGCTGCACATATGTCCCACATATTTAACTGGAACTGCCATCAGCAATCCAAATTCTGGGTCTCAAATGTACATGAATGTATATAATTTTCCACTGTGGGTGCACCATGAGCAGACTATCCTGAGTAAATAACATCCTCTGCTTGGCCCCACATTAAAAGTATTTTCTATAACCTTTTGTGAAAATTGGAGATCTCTGTATATCCTTCACCAATGTCACCTATTATAGGTTATAATAATTTCATAACCAGCCAGGGTGACAGGGTTTATAAAATCTGGATACAGATTCTGCATGAAACATTTAATCTCTTGTTCTGGTTGGCAAATCCCAAATGATTGCTACTAGAACATGAATTACGAGATTTGGGTTTCTGAAAACAAAGACAACTCTGCCATTTTTCAGACTCGTTATGAGAATGCAAATAGTTCCACAGAAATCTGACGCAATTTGAAGAGCTATGCTATCAACAAAGCCTCATTACAGGTACACTCTCTAGATCATAGCAACTGCCCTCTATCAGTCAAAAAATGGGAGAGGGATCTGAGTTTGAGGAGCAGACAGACAATGTTAAACTCCTGTCATAAAGCCTGGATCAGTAACATATTTCAAGAACTCCACTATAAGCTATTGATGAGATGGTATCAAACCCCTTCAGTACTGAAACATACAGGTGCAGGGGCAGACTGACAACTCATGGGGTCCCCGGGCAATAGAGGATCATGGGGCCCCTGTGTCCTTGCTGAAACTCAAAAAAGCCTATGAAAAAGGTACCAGGGGCATCTCATGGGGCCCCGTGCTGACCCCGGGCCCTCGGGCAATGCCCGAGTTTCCAAATGGTCAGTCCGTCCCTGTACAGGGGTTACAAAAATGGAAACAGTAATTGATTTGCAGGTGTGAAAGTGATGACATGTTTCACATTGAAAATGGAAGTGATGTAACATTCTTTTGGTTCTGCTGTCTGATGAGACATCTAGCTAACAGGTGGGAAGCCTCACTGTTGTCATTCACTGCATACGCTGCTAGTAATGCAGATTCATGTAATTGCTTACTGAGCTTCAAAGAGGGCAAATTATAATTCTATTATAATAGAAGAGCCCAACCCCTGAGGAAGAGCGGCGTTATCAAATAGGGATGATAAGGGAGAGAGATCAGAAAATAAGAGAGCAATGATGCCCCGTTGATACCACAAGCGCAGTACAGCCACAGTCAATGGGGACATGCAGGGAAAACGCAGAAGGTCCTGGCTATAACCCCATTGTAAAGCCCGAAGACCTGAGCCAAATCTTGTGCAACCTGAGCCAAATCTTGTGCTATCATACAACAGTCTTTTACAGAAGGGTCTGGGAAACCAATCAAGCATCCAGGCTAGTAACGTGGTTCTATAATAAAGCTCAAAGTCTGGTAAACCCACTCCGCCTCCGAGTTTCGGGTAAGTAAGTAACCTATATTTTAAACTTGAGAACCCTTGGTGCCAAATAAATCTAAGCGAAAGGGAGCATAGAGAGAGGAAGAAACTCTTAGGGACAGCAATCGGACAGTCTGAAAAACGTAGAGTAACTTAGGTAAGGTATCCATCTTGAGGGTGTTGATGCGGCTGAACCAGGGCACAGCAGAAGCGCCCCATGAAGCCAGATCTTTTCTGATACGTGAAAGCAGGGGTAACTAATTAAGGGAATATAGAGCAGTAAGATCGTCAAAAATCATGATCCCCAGGTACATAATAGACTTTGGGCACCATTGAAAAGCGAAATTAAAGCTTAAGTTTTCCAACACATGGGCAGGTTAAGATATATTTAAGGCCTCTGTTTTAGAGGTATTACGTTTGAAGTTGCTAAATAAACCAAATCTGCGGAATTCGTGGAAAAGACTGGGGAGTGAAATAAGTGGCTGTTGGATGTAAACTAGAAGGTCATCTGCATATAAGGATAGTTTGTGATGTGTGGAGGGAGTGATTAGTCATTAGTTTGTTTGGCTCTCGCTGTTCCATTACTATGACAAAGAAAAGAGGTGAGAGGGGGCAACCCTGTCTAGTCCCATTTGATATGGTGAAGGGCGAAGAGACCATACCATTCACTAGGACAGATGCCGAAGGATGAAAATAGAGGGACATAATCCGAGCGAGGAACCGCGAACCCAAACCTATTTGTTCCAGGGTGAGATGTAGAAAGCGCCCATCTTCTCAGCATCAAATGAAAGGAGGCAAGCCTTTAATCCATGTTTAAAATATAAAATAAAGTGAGCGCTCATTAAATAAAAAGAAAATATCAATGAAAAGTAAGCAGCTAATGGCACAAGAGGGGATCACAACCTCCTCTGACTGTATAAATAGATGAATAAAGTGCAGCGCTAAAGCATATCAAAAAAGTTCGTTCTTAGAAGTTCGTTGTCAAAAGTTCATAAGATATCTCGATCAATACTATGGTGTACACAGCTAGAAGGATCCAGTAGAAATGACAGAAATGCGCACTCACCGACCGCGCATAGGAAATGCGCATTTGTGTGTTAAAAACACAAGTGTCGAACTCCCTCAGGACGAGGTATCATCAGGCGGTGATCTGCTAGGCTCACAGGACCTCCTTAAGATCAGGATTAAAGACGGCCAGGTGAGGGCTCCCTCCTCCAGATATAGCTGTGTCTGCCAGTCTGATAACCCCTCAATAAGGGGTAAAAAACGGGAGAATGCCCATAGTGTAGTATATCAAAAGTGTATTTAAATAACATATATAACAGGACAGGTCAGTATTCAAACTGGCAAACAGCCAGAAAGTGTACAGTAAAAATAGAGCTGTCAGCCTCCCCTCTGAAGATGTGCTCTAGCACGAAAGGCCTCAGGAGGAACTGACAGCTTGTGACGCCTCATCGCCGCTGTCCAGACCTCCTGAGGAGGTTCTGGCGGCCAATTTACTCTAGGTCAGGGGACCAGTATTTTTACTATACACTTTCTGGCTTTTTGCCAGTTTGAATACTGACCTGTCCTGTTATATATGTTATTTAAAAATACACTTTTGATATACTACACTATGGGCATTCTCCCGTTTTTTTACCCCTTATTGAGGGGTTATCAGACTGGCAGACACAGCTATATCTGGAGGAGGGAGCCCTCACCTGGCCGTCTTTAATCCTGATCTTAAGGAGGTCCTGTGAGCCTAGCAGATCACCGCCTGATGATACCTCGTCCTGAGGGAGTTCGACACTTGTGTTTTTAACACACAAATGCGCATTTCCTATGCGCGGTCGGTGAGTGCGCATTTCTGTCATTTCTACTGGATCCTTCTAGCTGTGTACACCATAGTATTGATCGAGATATCTTATGAACTTTGACAACGAACTTCTAAGAACGAACTTTTTTGATATGCTTTAATCCATGTTGGTTGATATAAAAGATAAGATGGATTGTTTTAGAAGGCCACATAAAATGACAGAGCGGGGTCAGTGCATGGTGATGCGCGCAGTGCATAGAAGTGGTCAACTGTCTGCATAGTCAATAGATAAAAACCTCTAAACTTCAAGTGGCTTTCAGATTAGCACAACAACAATGTGTAGAGAGCTTCATGGAATGGGTTTCCATGGCCGAGCAACTGCATCCAAGCCTTACATCACCAAGTGCAATGCAAAGCTTCGGATACAGTGGTATAAAGCAGGCCACCACTGGACTCTAGAGCAGTGGAGATGTGTTCTTTGGAGTGAGGAATCATGCTTCTCAGTATGGCAATCTGATGGATGTGCCTAGGTTTGGCTGTTGCCAGGAGAATGGTAGTTGCCTGACTGCATTGTGCCAAGTGTAAAGTTTGGTGGAGGGGGGAATATGGTGTGGGGATTGGCCCCTTAGTTCCAGTGAAGGGAACTCTTAAGGCGTCAGCATACCAAGATATTTTGGACAATTTCATGTTCCCAACTTTGTGGGAACAGTTTGGGAATGGCCCCTTCCTGTTCCAACATGACTGCGCACCAGTGCACAAAGCAAGGTCCAAGAAGACATGGATAAGCGAGTATGGGGTCGAGGAACTTGACTGGCCTGCCTCAACCCAATAGAACACTGTTGGGATGAATTAGAATGGAGACTGAAAGCCAGGCCTTCTCATCCGACATCAGTGCCTGACCTCACAAATGTGCTTCTGGAATCAAACATTCCGATAGACACACTCCTAATCCTTGTGGACAGCTTTCCCAAATGAGTTGAAGCTGTTATAGCTGCAAAGGGTGGGCCAACTCAATACTGAACCCTACAGACTAAGACGCCATTAAAGTGTGTGTGTGTGTGTGTGTGTGTATAAAATGGCGGTTCCAGAGCTAATGTTGAGGTGGGCCCAAAGGAACCCTGACACTTGACTCCATTTAATTCTGGCAGATAAAAGTTAACCACTTCAAAACTGCGCTATAGCCAAAAGACGGTTACAGCGCGTTTGTCCAGTTCTGAGAGGGCATCATAATATGATGTACTCCCAGAATGCCCCCACCTGTGTGCCCCCAGCGGTGTGCACCCTGCGCTGTCCATAATTGCTGTGTCCTACGGACACAGCTGATCACATGATGAAGTAAAAGGCCAATCACAGCAGCCTTTTACCATGTGATCAGCTGTGTCCAATGACACAGTAGATCACCAAGTAAATACAGTTCCTGGTTATCGGCAGCACTTTACTGCTGATAATCGGCAAATGTCACAGAGGGCATCAGCACTGATCATCAGGGCCCAGCAGTGCCACCCATCAGTGCTGTCCTGCAGTGCCTCCAGTCAGTGCTGTCAGTGCCACCAGTCAGTATTGCCCATCAGTGCCGCCTATCAGTGCCCATCATTGCTGCATATCAGTGCAGCACTGGGGTGGACTGACCATTTGGAAACTCGGGCACTGCCCGAGGGCCCCAGGCCAGTTGGGGCCCCCATGAGATGCCCCTGGTACCTTTTTCATAGGCTTTTTTGAGTTTGGGCAAGGACACAGGGGCCTCATGATCCCCTATTGCCCGGGGGCCCCATGAGTTGTCAGTCCGCCCCTGGTAGCATCATCAATGCTCACCAGTGCCACCTCAACAGTGCCACTTATCCATGCCACCTCATCAGCGCCCATCAGTGCTGCCTATTAGTGCAGCCTGATCAACGCACATCAGTGAAGGAGAAAAATTACCAGTTTGCAAAATTTTATAAAAGAATAAAAAAAACTTTTTTATTTCACATTTTTTGCTCTTTTTTTGTGTTTATAGTGCTAAAAATAAAACACCCAGTGGTGATTAAAAACCACAAAAAGAAAGCTCTATTTGTGTGAAAAAATTGATAAAAATTTAATGTGGGTACAATGTTGCATGACCACGCAATTGTCATTCAAAGTGTGAGAGTGCTGAAAGCTGAAAATTGGCCTGGGCACAAAGGGGGCAAAAGTGTCAAGTAGGCAAGCGGTTAAAAGGACTTTCTTCACAGTACAATGTAAAAAAAGAAATCTTCTTTGCTTTGCTAAACGGCGTGGTATTGTCCTTTTTCTACAATAACTTGCTAGAACTTAGTATCAAGACTGGCCCCCATAAAAGTAGGGGGTTAGCAGCTTGTGTTTTTTTCAGATCCTAAACAGGACTTCACAACCTAGGCAGATTTACATATCCATAAAGAGGGAAACAAAATAGATAAAATTGACCAAATCTGTACATTTTGAGGCTTTTGTACAGCCATTTTTAACCCTGTTACCCTAAGCTCTGGACACAAGTAGTAAATACAGCCCTACTTATAGTTAAGCCTCACTACAAATGCAGTAAATCCTGCCTAATTACATTTTCCTGCTGTTACCCCCCTTGTATCAGCTTATTAACACGTCTCGTAGTGTAAGGAGCACAATGTAGAGATCTATGTCAATATTAATAATGCTTTGTTATGCTTCAATAGTACTCCTAATATTTGTTGTATTGCTTTTCCTTATCTTTCAAATACAGTTCAGTATACTGGAACCATGTCCACAGTGATTATTTTGTAATAAATAGCAAATGTGTGTGATTATGTACCACTGTTTTTGTGGTTGTCTTAAATATTTTTCTTAATAAATACTTTTTTTTTTTTTGATGGCAGTGCTCTGCTGGTCAGCAGCCTTAGGAGTATTTATTAAACCATAGGTAATAGAAAGTGAAAACTTGTGGTTAAACATAAGCTGGAATATGAATTTCCACAGCATTGAAATACATTGTAAAACTAAATAAACATGATGAATTTTCCCAAAAAAGGGAATTCTAAAGGTACATTGACATGCAGATGCTGATCTTGCCAGAAATGCTACTGTTAAGTCGGTAGAGCTATGTGCATGAGTCCAGTACAGTCCATGTAGTTTTGAAGTTAAATTCCATTCACCCTGTTGACAATGGACTGTACAACAAATGATGCTGGAAAGTCTAAATTCTGAATTATGTCAAATGAAAACAAGCAGGGCCTTCTTTTGGTTTCACTGTATTCTCTCCAAAATAATTGTAATAATCATAAATATTCTATACATATACAGAATAAAAATGTGTAGGTGTTTGTGATGTTTGTCCCCAGTGATGTTGACACTGGTAATGGCCCTACCTAAGGGTAGAGTTTCTGATGAGGGGTAGAGGTAGTCCACCCATACTAAGCCTAGGCCCCATCAGGTCAGCAGGGAGTCCTGGTTGGCTACTTGTGATGCTATTGTGGTCATACAATGCAGGAAACCCTTCAGGCAGACATTGCCAGTCCTTCCATAGCTATCACATTGCTGTAACATGACCATATTCTCCAGCACCACAGAGCCCTCTAGCTTGACCAGCATCAGATATATACAAAATATACACTCCTCAGCCAGCTCCAACCCCTGTGCAGTGTGTCCACCTGTGGATTTATCTTCAGTTTCTGGTAACACCATTGCCAGAGCCAGATTCAAATGAAGACTATGAGTGAGTAGATGAAAAAGGAAACTCTGACATGCCAGGAACATCATGACAGGTGACAGCTGAGATACACAAGCTGTCCAGAAAGCAGGGATGTACAGATTGTTGAAAGAATAATGCCAAAACTGTCTATAAACACAGATTTACCACCACGACGAGCATGTTAGAAAATAAGGAAAAGGACATTTGCATTATTTACCAATAATCACCCAAAACATTCTTGCAAACATTTACTCACCAGCCACTTTATTAGGTGCACCTTGCTAGTACCGGGTTGGACCCCCTTTTGCCTTCATATATATTCTCACACAATTGGGAATTAGTGCTGCTTTTTATTTGTATGTTGTAGTTGACTGGTATCATGGTTTTAAAGTGGCTGCTTTTTTCTTCTTTTAATTGCATGACCTAGCGCAAATAATATTTACTTACAAACAAATACAATGTAACAGTTCTTTTATGGTGTATTTGGGAAAGAGGTGTGTACTGTAAAAATTTCAATTCTCACAGGATTCACTTTTATCACTTCAACAGAGTTGGGGCTTGAAATCAGTATTAAACCCAAAATACAAAAATGTAATATATTGCAGTTTACCAATCCTTAAATATAGAGTCTGCATTTGTTTTCCTTGTTCACTTTTTCCTTTTTTTTTTCACTAGCAGATGTGGCCAGTAACACACTTAGGGATGGAGGAGCAACTAAAACACCTCTGGACTGCAGCATTTTTAATCTGGGGAGAGGAAAATGTTAGATTAAGGTGTCCGTTTATGACACAGAGAATAGCTGCGATTCAACAGATCTCAGCTATTCTCTGGTCATCACAGTTTATGACACTCAGGAGATCATGTCAGCCCTTCACTGGAGATCTGTGTTCTCCCTCCAGATTCTCCAGCCCAGAGCTGGAGAATCAGAGAGACCGAAAACTAAGCAGAGATAATTTACCCTGCTTAGTAAACTGATCTTTTACTGTAATCTCGCGAGATTATAGTAAAATGAGCCATTTTCCAGAGTTTGTAGACCGTTCTCCAGCGTTTGGAGACCGTTCTCCCTTCGTTCAAAGAACTGCTTCATAAACTGCATTCACAGGAGAACTGAGCAGCGATCTATTACCGCTGGTTCATAAATGGACACCTAAGTGTCATATTTGAATGAGCTTGACTAACAAATTAAAACCAAATTGTAACTAACACTTTTTAGGCAGTTACAAAAACAGGTTTTCATCCTGGCATAGAGATTTTACATAATGAATAAAAGCTGATCATTGTAAGTACCCTGTCAGTGGTACATGGTTTGTCTCAACCTGCTATTTTCCTCTTTAGCTAGACAGTCTGTTCTGTCAAAGGAAGGACAAAAATAACAGACTTACTGGTTGGCTCACAAGTGAAAATAAAGGTTAAAAAAAAAATCCTAAAAAAGAAAACTAATGCAGCCACCACGTGTAAGAATTGGTAAGTTGCATTAAACAGTAATACATTTCTGTTTTTGGGTTTAATACTGCTTTAATGTTTACACATCTTGATAGCAGGTATTGGAGTCTGAATATTTAATGAATGTCTTGTCACAATGCATTACATGTTTCCTGCTGAAAAAAGTAATGCAAAAGCCCTGTTGCTGGAAAAATTTAAAATGGAAAGAAAGGAGAGAACAAGCCTAAGGTATTGTTTACAAGTGCATACTTAAAGAGGAGTTCAACCTAAAAACAATTTAAAAAAAAGTCAGCAGCTACAATAACTGTAGTTGCTGACTTTTAAAATACAGCCACTTACCTGTTCTTCGATCCAGCGGTGTCTTCAGTGTGGGCACCCGGCTGTGACAGATTGCGGCTTCACAGCCGGGTTCCCACTGCGCATGCGCGAGAAGCGCTGTGCTTTGTGAATGGCCCCGTAGTCTTCTGTGACCTGTCACATGTCCCAGAAGACTACGGGGAGGGAGGGGGGGGGGATGACAACTTCTGCTTCTGATCGCTATAGGAGATCACAGCGGAATTGGGAGCGGGTACCTGTCAAATTCGGGTACCCACTCACCCCCCACTCCCCAAAGGTGCCAATCCTTAATGGAGTCTGGGAGACAAAGGCATAAAGCGGAACTTTCCCTTTTGGGTGGAGCTCCACTTTAAGTGCATGTTCCCTGTGCTTGTTTGCATGGGGACGCATCCTTGTGCAGACAGTCTCATTCATGTCAATTGCAGCAACTGCGCAGACACATCTATTGCTCCCAATCTGACGTTCACATGGGTCCCCAAATGCACACTTTCTGCTTTCAGGGACCCACATGGACCCACTTGGCTGTCAAATTGGGAGCAGATATCATATTTGGTATGAATGGCATTGCCTGCATGGGGATTCACAGAACACCTGTGCATCCCTTTGTGGACAAACATAGTCTTTGCATGGGTGTATGTTTAAAGTGTAACTAAACCTAGGACCCTGTATTCACTATATCTGGTCTCCCACAGTACACAGAACATGGAAATGCAATTATTTAAGTAAACATAAACTGCTAAATACCTTTTCTCATCAATAGTTAGAGCAGTCTTGTGACTTCTATCAGTGTCCAGCTGAGCACTGGTTAAAGCTTGTAGGAGGAGTTTTCATTCTCCTCTCACTGCCCTGAAATTGCATAAGCCCTGACCCTCTTTCTGGACAGTGCTGATTGGCCCTGTGCTGATCACATGCACCCTTCCAAGAAATAGAAAACACTCTCTAGCAGTACACACCAAACTGAGCATGTGCAGAATGTCCCTGAGGCTGTGTTCTATCAGGAGATGAAATGGGGAACATGGAAGAAGGGAAGGATCAGAGAAGATGGGATCAAACATCTTTTTTTACACAGTGCAGAGGATTAACCCCTTAACATGCTTTACTGCAAATACAAACTGATTTTACTGTTGTGGGTTTAGTAAAACTTTAGAACTTCATAAAGTCACCAACCAGCTGACCAAGTTAAATGCATATGGGCACTAAACATTTTGTAACAGTTGTGTTTGTTGTAATATAGTATGTGTGTGTGTTACTGGACCTTCCAGCCTTCTTCAAAATCAAGCATGAAAAAAATATATTTGCAGAGATTACTTTGTGAATCTTGAAGTGCCATATCTGTCTTCATACGTGCTGTAGTC